TGCAATTTCCGCTTCTCCCGCTCTCCCACTTCCTCTTCCCGCACGGCTGGGCGGCTCCAGGTGGGAGAGGGGACCCGCCCCGCCGGGCGGTGCTGCCCCGGCCGCCCGGGAATGCGGCGGGTGGGTCTGCAAGTCATAAAAGACACATCATATACTTTTAAAAACCTATGCTGTAGCTGCTCCTCTCCTCCTTTCTTCAAATGAACGAGAGGACCGAGCACTAACTACTTCAGAAGTCACAGCATCATGTAACAGAGTAATACTAATAGATCATCGCCTTCCCAGCCCCCTGCACGGGCAGGGACATCTCCCTCTACATCAGGTTGGCTCCAAACCCCCTCCCAGCTGCCCTTCAACACCTCCAGCCCACGTATTTTAGCCTCAGCGCTCCGTTTTTCACCCCCACGCTCTGGCCATCGCAACTCTATTGTCTTGGGGGTTTTCCAGCTCTTTTATCGGCCAAAAGGCTGGCGTGGGGCTGCTCCCAGGGAATCCCAGCCAGAGATGCCAAACAAGAAAGCCATCGAGTTTCTAAAACGCAGCCTGAACGCTTGGAAGTTGTTTGCCCACTCTTGGTTTATGTGCCTTTTGGAGAAAAGGAAGCAAAGCAGACTCAAAGGAACGACATTTCCCACACAAGATCTCGCAGATAAACGTGCAAATTCAAACTAAAACAACAGGTAACATAAAAAAGTTATAGGTGAACAGTTTCACTCAGTGAAACTCCCAGGCTTATTGGGGCAGCTGCCTCCAGTCACCTAAAGCCAAAGGTAGTCAGTTCACAGTACAAACAGGCTCAATTATTTCTGTATTAAACATAGGGTCATTTCCTCTATAAACCAAATACACAGTATTTTCAAAACTGGGCTAAAATTGCTCTTAAAAAGAGGCCTGCTAGAGAAGAAGGCTCAGAGAAAGAACCTTGGCCCTTTTGGCCTTAATTCTGGCTCTTGCTGTGCCCTTCTGGAGAGTCTTCATCTGTCCCCTCTGCTTACAGGTAGGAATACTAAACATTTATACAACACTCTTTATCCATCCATTGCCACATAAAACCACAAGATGCTGCTATCTAAAAACAGACAATCATGGTGGGTTTTTTCTTCAAAAATTACTATTAACAAATAGTGATTTGTGGTGCCAAAACTCAGAGCAGAGCACATGTGAGGTAGTTCAAGGCAGAGTTAATGCTGGGAACAAGGTAGACTGAACATGGGAGGTGCTCAGCAAAATTACTTCGCAGCAAAATTGACACAATGTCAAAAGCAACTTCTCATCTTTTAATTCTACATCAGTTTAAGAAGAGAAATTTAAGATAAAAAAAAATCAGTTCCAAGATTCCCTGTTCTCTAAACATGCAAAAATTTTAAGTTTCAAGTTAATTCAAACATCTCCTTACTGCAGATAAAATGCTTACTTTGATTTTTATAGAACTCTTTCCAACTGAAGCCCTTAAAGACATTTGGCAATTTACAAAGAGTTATATTTAACCAAGCTTTATTTAAAGATTACTGTAACATACCCATATGCCTCTTACACATGCACTTGCATGTTTTCCTTTCCTTATTAAAGTTGAGTGAGAAGTATTTTTCTCCATGTCCCCCAGATAGCTTTGCTGTATAATTCAGAAGGAAGAAAACACACAGGTTTGCCAGTTTGTGAAAGCTTTTTCTATTTCACTCATTTATTCTAGCTCTCATGTCAATTCCATTGCTCCGTAACAGTTAAGGTTTTACAGCCTTAAAATAATGTTTTTTTTTCTTTTCACATTTTACAAGTCTATTCCGCGTTGTTTTCACTTTTGAGAAGCAACAATAACAGGACTTTGAACACCTACTATCACAGCAGTGACCAGAAATGTCTATGTACTTTTTTTTCTAAACAGTGAAGTTCAGCTGAACAGTGAGTCAGGATCTCCTTCTGCAGTTTCACTTTAGCTTTTTCTAGAAAGATAAGATTCTCTGGAAATATAAAAGAGACTGCAAATGATCAGATAGCAACTCATACAGACAAGATAGACAAACAAGAGATGCATTTTTGAACAATGTTTAAAGGATCAATCACAACGTTTCTCCACTCCACGCATTCCACATCCTGCTGTTGATCTAGAGGACATGATGAAATATGCTTCAGTACTGCTTCCATTATTCTGCCACTTTATCCTTCTGTCTTCTCTTCTACACAGGAAATGGTTTACAAATATATTAAAATTGACAAACAGCCCTATTGTGACCCAATTTTGCATTGGTTCCCTCGACTCCCACGTTTCTCTCCCAATATCACTATGGTCATAATCTCGTTTTATTAACAAAGCAACTGTTGTTGCTATTAAAAAAAAACCAAAAAACCCAGCACTTCAGTCTTCATTACGTGGACCAGAATATACTGAAGTTATATGGTAGTTTTTGTTACTTTTTTTAAAAGTAAAACATACGCTAACTACAAGTAGGCAATTAAGCAGTTTTCTTCTGAAAACTGGTTTTCAAAAAAACTGATTAACACATGTGAACTTGAACAATTCCAAAGAAAATGTCACATTTGATGGAACATTTTTCTCTTGGAGAAAAGTCATCATTTGAAACGAGATCTACAGGGCAGCAAACAATCATTAAGATGCTTTATTGACAATATCCACTCACTGCAAAAGTATCTGTCTGCATACAATTACATCTTAGCTTTTCAATAGTGTTTTATTGGCAGTGGAAAATGCATCAGTACTTTATTGAAAGAAAGCAATAAATAATACTGTGATAAAAATAGTTCAAAAGTAGACTGTACATATTGTTACATAATCTGAAAATACACAAAAGATTAATAGAAAAACAGAACAGTAACAACAAAATTCAGTTTTACAAGCAAGTTAAAAGTGGAAAAAACAAAATAAGAAAAAAGACATGCTATATATATTGTTGCATAATAAATAATGCACCATCTGAACAGGTTCTTGCTGGCTTTTTAATATGCCATTTACAAGTGTCAGATACAACTTCTACGCAGACAGTCCAAAATGGCTACAACCATCAAAATTAAAGTCCAGACAACTCCTTTAGAACAAGTTTACAAAACACAAAAGATGACTTACATAAGAAAAGTAAGGCTTTTATTAGAAGTTGCACTGCTTTAGTTTTCAGCCCCATTGTACCTTCATCTCTCACTATGTGACATGAGACTGCAGTGCTTCACCATTGGTCCGTTAAAACTAGTTTCACCAGCATCTTTTCTCAAGTGTTTTCAATCAAAAAGATTAGGACAAAAAAAAAAAAACAACAAACCCCTCTCTGTGGCCTGTGGATTACGACCAGGAATTATTAAGAAGTCTATCTTCCTCATTTAAGGAACAAAAACCCAAAAACAATTACAAACAGTTCTTGGTTTATGGCTTGTTTTCAGTCACTGTGAAGATAACGCTACACAAATACAGCAGAGAGTGTTATGACCGAGTCAATCACTTCTAAAACATGTTCCGTAGTGTTAAATAGTTCCTCCCAGCTTTTAAAACAAGTTCTATTTTAAATAAAGACAAATTCCCACCACTTGACAAACTGTCTTTGTGGGAAGGTACAGTTCTGAAAAGAAGAAGAACTGTGTACCACACCTCCTACGACAGCAAACGCTTACCTGAAAAAAAGCTGGACTTGTTTTCAGATCTAAGCTAAGGTTTCCAAAAGACAAAATATATACTGCATGGTGTCATGATACTTTTACAAAGGTATTAAAATCCTTTTCACCTTCAGTTTCATTATTAAAAAACAATGATAATTACAGTAACTGCATAATTTACAAAAACCCTATATTACTTATAGGGACATATACATACAAGCATTACAGTACATTCAGTTGGAAAGACTAAAATTAGAATAAAAAACTCAGCAATTATTTGATTTGTAGAGTGAATAGAAACAGAAAAAGTAAGTAACTATATAAATGAGAAGTCACATAAATATAAGAAACATTTAGATTCTAAAATATTTTCTCTATAGTACTCATGAATTTATTTGCTAATTAAAAACTCTGTAATAAAATATCTCAAAGTGTCCATTTTAACAAGTATTAACAGGTTAAGGGTTCCAAATGTTCAAAATGCTGCATATCACCGGTAGAAATAGTGTGGGTAAACTGCAAAAAAAAAACACAACAAAACAACACAAAAAATATGCAATTAGCCTTTTTTTTAAAATAAAAAAAACAACACTTCATTCTGAGTTTCTCACAAACAGCTCAGTGGTGCAGCAGTCATGCATTGAACTCTTGCCATGCCAGGATATACACAGTTCTGTTGCTTCTGTTGCTTGTCAAATATTTCTGCTTCCCAGATTGTTATCCTAGGTCATCTGACCATAGACAATCCTGAAACAGTGGGGAGAATTTGGGGGAGGGAAACACTTAAAACTTCAATGTCTTGGAACTAAAATATTTTAAGAAAGTCCCTGGGATTATGAACTCATACATCCACCTGATCGGAGTTGCTATGTGCAAGAGTTTCCCTTCTCAACACTTCCACACATAGAAACTCTTCAGGATTCAACTTGTATAGGCAAAAAGGTTCAAAATTTGAAGAAAAGGCAGCCAATTTGTGAGTTGGTAGGGATGTTACTGGTGAGAAGAAAGGAAGGAAGCTGCAAGCAGAACAGACAAGCAATTTATAGCCCATGGAACATAATCCAGTGAATCTCTCTCTCACCAGCTGGTTTTACTTTTTAAAAAATCCAATCTAGTAAAAAAATTTAGTTTCCAGACTTGTTAACAAAATTAAATATTCTTCCATAAAATAATACAGCAGAGACTGCTGAAGAAAAATCATTCCAAATGCTGGAATAGGACAGGTCTACATATCTTTCATAAACCAGATGCATATATTTTGTGTTAAAACACTCCTGTGTTATCAAGCTGCCTTTTACTGTCAGCACTGCTAAGATCTACTCAAAGTTAGGCTGCAGGTAGCTAAATTCAACCTGACAGCCTAAGCAATCACAGAGGAAACTTTCAAGAACTGGAAAACTGCTGTTACACCTGTAACAATTCAGTATGGAAGTATGTTGTAGTGGGATAACTTTAACCAAGCAAAGACTCTGAACGATCAACAATCTGAACTGCAGTGTCACACACTAAATTATGTTCTTTCCTTTATATGCCTAATTTAGTTCCCTTCCCTCCTCCCCGCTTTCTGTTTCATCCAACATTTGATTTCCACACTTTCTACACAGCTATGTAGCACAGGTCCTTTCTCAATCTGTTATTAAAAAAAACCCCACAAACCTCAAAAATAAAACAGAATTTACAGAAGTAAATATTTCAACACTCAGTGTTTTCTTTGTAGGAAATAAGCTCCAGATTTTCAATATAACAATCTACCCTGAAAACTTGAAACAGTTTTCTAAGTGTGTAAATTCACTGCTTCAAAATACCTGATGTTTTATTTCACAAATAGCTGCTTTACTACTATACCTATCAACTTTACTCACCAGAAGGCTTTAACAGGAGTAGGTCCTTACTGTAGCAGAATCCAATCTTTGTGTTCCTGATACACTCCCTATTTCAAGAAGCATGGGAAGACATGCAGAACACAGCATGCATGTTAGTTTTCAAAAAAAAAAAAAAAAAAAAAGAACAAACCACATCTCACAGCAATTTGATTACAGCTCCTGTACTCACCCAAACCTAAGGTTACAAGTTAGAAAAGCAGAACTTATTCTACAGTTTATGTATCAGCCACTTCTAGTCTAAAAGAATTCTAAAAGAAGTCTGCATACTAACTAGCACACAGAAATTGGTGAAGGTAGCTTATAAGTAATTGATTCTCTATTTTATAAAGTTTACATGTATTTCCTGATTTTTTTCTATCTCAAAAAAGGGGGTTTACCATGGTAAACACTTCACTTATTTCAGTTTACAGAATTTTCCACACAAATTCTGGAAAATATTTTGTGCTAGTGACAATATTTAAAATTCAAAACAAATCACATACTAAGAGAGCAAGAGATGCAAAGGTTGCTTCTTTGAGATTTACTCAAACATGATTTTCAGAACCTGAGACAACTCTGACAGATTATGCTGAAGTTCTCATCCTGTCTGTTCCAATTAAATACATTTTCCATATATTTTTACTTCTGTTTTGTAAAATAAATTCAAGTAAAAATTTATGTTCATGGTGCTAAAGAGACTAGTTTTAAAGAGGTAAGATACCTCATGTGACAGGTGGTCAACTTCCATTACCAGCTGGGGGTTTTTGTACAGCTTTATTTAGTATTTTAATACATTATCTGTATGTGTCTGTACATGCAGAAATATACATACAGATCATTAAGTACACAGCAATGAATGAAGTAGTGATTTCAAGTAAGAACAACACTTAGGTGACCACTGCAGCTTTTACTGAAGGTTTAATAACTTCAAAATTATCAAATGGAGTTTACTCACATCATTTTTGAGTGCATTTTACTGCATTTCAGAAGTGGGACTTACACTGGTCTAATTGTTGCTAAGTAGAAATGATGCATCATGTGATTAAAAGACTTCTACTAAAATGAAATCTCATTTTCCTAGTTTAAAATAAATCTATTTCTGATTCTCATGTTGTTATTCCAACGAAGTAAAAAAACTCCACATCTATTATAGCTTCCTGAAATTATAAAGCACCTTATGGTTAAACAGTGTTATACACAACCATGCACAATGCAATGCTTTTATGCAGCAAAAAGGTAATTTTATCTTAATTCCCCTGTAATCTCAAGCAAAAAAGCACATCATGCTTAAAATAATACAAAATCAATACCATCAATCTGCATCTTCTTTGGCTGCATAGAGGGTGAAGACATTGAGGTTGTAACTCTGAAATTTGCAGGAAGAGTCTCTGCTGATCCAGCAGCCAAACCTCTTATGTCCTTTGGTCTAAACTTCTTTCTCCATGAAGGTGCTCTCCTAAAGCTCTTATCATCATCCTGTTACATTGATAAACACCATTAGCAACTAAAAAACCATAGGATTGTTACTGGCACTAAAAGGATTACTGCCAATCTTCAGTAAATGTGTCATCACCAAAGGAGTTCATTTCCAGAACAATTCAGGTGCAACAGCAGCAGAGGTCTTCATCTGCAACCATCTGTGCTCATTTGCTAGACTGCAGGCTCTGCAGCTTATTAACTGTGAAAATTCATGTACTCAGCACATCTAAGGAAACATTTTGTACTTGGAATGTTCGTACTTTTTGATTTGCAGTAATTCCTAAGTGTCACATCACTCATTCTTAACAGATACGAGGAGTGGAGCAGATCATAACAGCTGCTTTGGGAACACTGACATGCAGAGGTTTAATTTGAACAATTCCTTTTAACATTCAATTCTATCTTACAGGAATGATGATACAGCTATTATGCTTTCTTCTCAAGCTACAAATTACAGGAAGGGACAGTAAGGGGAAAAAAAGGGCAGTAAATACTACATTGCTGTGCAGTGTGTTTTGCTGAAACGCTTGGGTAAACTTGACTTGAAATTACCCAGGTGCATTTCCCTCCATTAGCACAGCTGCATCTCCGAAGTAATATTCCACTTCAGAAATAAAATATTTAACTGTTGCATTTAGTAAATTCAAGTCTTGCTCCAAAAATGCCTTTTGCACTCAAGGTACTGTGTCAGTGCAAAGACACCCAGTCTGCATCTCCATTTGCTAACTTCAGTTTCAGAAACAGCTTGATCCTTTTAATGCCATTTTACCTAAAATTCATCCCCTTTTAGAATCAGGGGACAAGTGTCTGCATTATTTGAAGAGATCTCACTGATCTAAAACCAGTTAAGTCATCCCTTTCATGCTTTCCTTGCCCTCTTCCTCATACTAGTACAAGTATTTATGAGCTACTGTGGACTGGTTCCCTGACCTGGTTAGGGTTTTGCTTAAACTGAACCACTTTCACCTATCTGTGCTACCACAAACTCCCATTAGCACCAGGAAGCACAGAGTTATGAGTCCCTTGGGGAAGTTAACACCAGCTTGAAATTGTTCAGTGAGTTAGAGCACAGAGCAAATTAAAAGAATCAAGTTGTAACACACTTTCCTTTATGCTAGACATTCACACATTCTATAAAAAAAGTCTCACACCCAGCTGATTAGAGTTACTCAGTACATTTTAAGGTATTTGTAGCCAGGCAAGCAACAAAAAACAAATTTGCAAATAATCTCAGTACTTTCATATTCAAAGTCATCTTACCTAAATACACAAAACCTACCATATTCAGAAACTCTCACAGACAAATCATTTAAAGGTAAAATTTCTGTCACTATTCTGCCAATACCTTAAAGGCTAAATTCTTTCACTTAACAGTACTGAAGAAGTTCCCAGACCCATAAAACAGGTCGACAGCTCAAGGAACTTACTTCTTCCAGTCTTCTGTCAGTGCCCACAGCAAGAAGGTTATTAAATTCTCTCTCCAGAACAGCACGAGCCTGAGGTTTATAGTGTGAAAGAAACAAATTAATTCCAGAATATTAATAATTGGTAACCTATAGTCATTTTTAAAACTCAGTATTACCCAAACTGTTTAATAACTTCTTATCAGATTAATAAACCTACTTAGGAAAAGTTACCATTTAAGTTGTAACTTATTAAAAATTTAAGGAAGACTTAACAGCTCCCCCCCCTTCCCTTTGTTTTGATATGGAAGTTTGCTATTTCTGGCTCAAACTTCATTATTTCAGAATAAAAACTAGCAAGCAACAGCAATTATGAGTTTTACACTCATGTTGTGGAGTATGAGGAAAATATTCAAACTATATTTTGTGTTCAAGCAAATTAATCAACCAGAACTGTTATTAATCATTAGAAAACAGTAAGAAAAGCACAGTTCTGTTGTTCTCTTCTTTCCATTTCTGAAGTTTCTAGAGCTATTCCTATTCCCTATTCTAGAGGGGAACAATGATGGAATACGGAACAGGGACACATGCACTCTAAGAAAAAAGCCTAGTCAGTTCAATTTTTAACCTTCCTAAAGGGGAGAAAAATCCTACTGGCTATAAAGTAACTATTTCTTGCTTACCTGTGTGTTTTGAGTGGGTATTTGTAGTAAGAGAGCTAATGCATTGTAATCAAATGATTCATCTAAGGCCACGAGTGCACCATGAACTCCACTCTCTATAAGGTTACTTGCGTATTCTTTAAGACCAATGGACATCACCCAATGGATCATCCTTTCATTGCTCCAGACAAGGACATCTATGGAGAAAAAAACAGTTGTCTGATTTATAAGAATATTACTTTTCTGAAGAAAAATCCCACAGTCCGTTCTTGATCTGTACACAGATGTTGAGATTGATTTTCACATGGGAACAATTCACCATAAATTCTATCCAGTAGTAGCGCTCAAGGAATTTTGTTATTTAACAAATATTTAAGTTGTGATGTAATCTGTCTCTGCCTTTTTGGTGTGCATGAAACACACAAACTGGCAACAAAACTTAATTTTAGAACTCCAGTGTTTGGTGTTGGATCCCTTCCATACAGTAGTGTTCCTTGCACCCAGAAAGAATAATCCTTGTTCAAACTCCTCTCTCTCTGCCTACAGTGGAGGCTACAGTCACAGCTATGAGACAAGTTCAGCTGGACATAGTGTTCACTGCAGATGGAGAAGACAGGATCTGCTATTTTACACAGCCACTTAGAAGCTTGTAACACACCCAAGACAAATTAAGTATTAATAACTAATATAATCACCAAAAGCTATCAACACACTAAGAGGAAAGGGTAAAAACAGGCAGAGAGCCTTCTAAATAAATTGTGTGCAAGGCAATCCTAAAACTTGTCTACAATGTCAGAAAAGACATCTGGAATTAGGTAGGGGACAAAATTTCTATGTGAAGTCTTAGAAAATACTGATTTCCCAACTCTGCTTTTTCTTGTTCAATGATCATCATGAATCTGGAAGATATAAACACCTAAGACACCTGGATATTTTCTTTATAAAAGTGCTGGGTAATAAAAATTACCCACCACATTCAACAATAAATTCATAGAGATGCAAAATCACTGTGTCAGAAGAGAAAAAAAAAAAAAAAAAAGAGAGAAGCAAAAATACAAGACCAAAACTCGTTCAAAACCCTCATCCTCCTAAAACATTCAGTTTTGTTTCAAACTTCAGAGCTGTAAGAGTTTCAAAAATGCCTTGTATTTATAGCACATCTCAGCAGCAGTGAATGATTTATGTGTTTCATTATTCACTGGGGTCTGCATCCAGACATCTCCCGTATTTAACACTTGATAAATAATAAATAAATAATCCTCCCTCTAATGACTTTTTTCTTTGTTTAATGAATTTTTCAGGTAGATAGTGACTGAGGCCAACAGAATGCACCAACCCTTAATTTCCTTCTGGCTTTCTTCTCTTTTTCTTTCAAGTTCTTTTCGATCATAATTCAGTCTTCGTAGGCACATAATTCCACACTGGAAACTGTTTCTGTTCAGAAAAGAAAACAAAAAATTAGGAAAAAAAGAATTTTTATTTAGGGATAATGGGAACATTTACTGTTAAGTTAGATCTCCAACTCTACCTGTGAAAGCTGTCCACCATTTTCAGTTGCCCACGCAGATCTTTTTTAGTTAAATGATCCAGCATCCGAGCATCAACAAGACATTCCATGAAGTAGCTGCGGTACTGGGGGAGCCCCAGGCTAGGGAGCCATTCATTGCCAATCCACTCGTGGTTCATATCACCATAAGCTAATGTCTGGTTTTAAAACATGAAATAAGAAGCTCATTATTATGAGAAGTTTTTTTAAAAGCTGTTCTTAGACAACACATTTTAAAGACAAACTTAAAACAAGGCTTACTTCTTAGCTTGCAAAGATAAGCAACTAAGAATGATGAATACATGTTTTCTGAAGAAGTCAACCTCATGAAGAAGAGCAAGTGTAGGTATTCAGATCAGTACTAAAACTGCTTTTATTTATTTAATGCTGAAGTGCATAAAAATACACAAAACCTAACAAAAATTTAAAAATACTAATCTATATGGTTTTGATAGCAAGAGCCATAGAATTACATTTTGTTAAGATGCTGAAAATACTGTCTTCTCTTGAAAAGTGTGTGTGGGAATCATCTTATTTTCCACATGACTATATAAATACAAGATACATCCATACATAAGAAAAACTAGTTTCAGGGTTCTTTTAGAGGTCTTAATCATTTTCAAAAACTGGTATCAGTCAAGTAAGCAAAAAATGACAAAACCCACAACTGAAGAACAAGCAATTCTAAATGCTAGTCCTTATCTTAATATATATACACACACACACATATATAAAAAAAATCCTCACTGCATTTTTGACCTGCAAATCATCAGGTGTTTTCTGAAGAAAATGTCTAAAAATAAGAATTTATAACTATGTGTCTAATAATTCCCTGAGCAACAAAAGCCAGCAGCTCCTATTTTCAAAAGTCAAGTGTACTAATTCATTTTTGCTGTGCAATTATAAGTCAAAAAGCTTTATTTCTCCTCTGGAGAAAGCACCTCTTAGAAAGGAGCAAGGCTACTTAGAAGTGCATTTCTTCAAGCCGTCACTAGGTAGCAGACTGGAAGAGCATGTTACTCTTGTACCAGGGAGGCAAGTTATGGTTCTCACTGATCATCTCTAAATGAGTATGTGAGACATAGTTAATGGGAATTAAATAGGTTTAAGCTGGAGGGCCGCCAAGCAAGAAGAGACTGCACTGTCCGAAGCTACAGTCACAGGCAAATCCTGAGTTTTGTTTATACCCCTGTAGAAAACACTCAACTATCTCAAAGCCTGAAAATACAATTAGGATTTGTCACCACTTTAAGGGAAAACAATTAATCAAGGAGGATTAGAGAATTAGCACAGGGAAATCTACTTATCTAGGCTGGCTATGTCTGGCAGCACACCTGTGATGGTGGCCAGGTCAGACAGGCACTTTAGCAGATATTCTTGTTGGAATTTGATCTAGTATCTTCAATGCACAGAATACAACAATACTTATTAAGAAAGTGTAACTACATTTTGGTGATTCATAAACTAGGGGATATTTCAGAAAGCTAATGACCATAAAGACTTCAGAATATTCTTTCCCTTAACAGCCCTATTATTAAAAATCCTTATACAGAGGGGTTTTTTTTTGTGATGTATTGTGTGTAACAAAGTGTTTTACACATTTTCAAGGATGAACTGCTGAAGCTTCCAAGTTCTAAAACACATTAAAATATTTAAATCACCTAAATATAAAATTGTAGCTTCCAAGTATGTACTATACAGAGCTAAGACTTATTTCCCCCTCTTCCAATTCCCAAGCCACACTAAGAGTCACTAAAAGAAACTGCTATAAAGGAAAAACAGATTTTTTTCATGCTTAATTATTGTGACAGTTTACATATAGACTATAATATTACATAAAGTTTCCAACCTGAGCCCAGCTTCCCTCCTCATCTTCCTGTTAGGTGGTTAGAAAAGCAAAAGAACACATGTATTAGTGTTAAAGTTTAGTAAGGAGATCAAAGTTAAAGATGCACTGCAAGACTCTAAGTCTACTGCATACCAAAATAACTCTAGATAAAGCAAGCATCATGCATGGCAAAAGCATACACAAGGCACTCATTTTCATATAAGATGTTGCAAAACCGATCTACTGATTAAGTTTTCTGTAGAGAAGAAACTTCCACACAAATAATTCAAATTCGAGCTCCATTTTACAGGCTAGAATTTTGTTTATGATCAAGATGCAGGTTAAGAGGTTAATAATTAGAAGCAGCAATGATCCAGCATTAATTTGAAAAAAAAAAAAGGAAAAAAGAAAAAAAAAAGACTAAAAAGCACTTGATTCAAAAGTTCAAAAAGTGGGAAAAGCACTCTAAGGAAGAGAAGTGGCAACACTATAAACTAACCGTTTGTTGTGTGGCTGTAAGATTTTCCATTTCTTCATGTGTTACCCAGACATTTCCCGTGGTCTAATATGACCCCACAGGGAAGCAATCCCATCCAGTGAAAGGAAAGCAGTAACAAAGAGGAGAGGTTGCAGAACAAATAAGCAATTGGTACACGTAAGGAGCAGGCAAGGGCAAAAGCAATGGTTGCTACAGTCTTAAGTACAGGCATATCTATGGAAAGTAATGGCATGGAATAAAAGCCTATTAAGGTGGATCACTTTTCTTCAAAGATATTAACAATATTGAATGTGATAAATAGCTTACACTGATGTAATTAATGGCCAAACACTTGACTCTGCTCTAATCCAAAAAACGCATTTGTAGTCTAGTACATAATCCTGGGAATCCCAGAAATAACTTTGAATTGCAGGGCAGGCAGACTCATGAGAAGGAATTCACACCAAATTTTAGTGTCTACATTTACTATAGTATAGACAGACAGGTGGACTCCCAGTTTATGTAGGCTGAATAATTATTTGGAGCTTATGGCCCTACATAATCTTACGGATTAGAAGAGGTCCCAACTATTTAAAAAATTGCTGTACACACATGGACACTTCATCTGTATTATGAATTCTTCTGAGGCCAAAAGATGAGGCAAATAACATGTACTCTATAAATATTTTTGATTCTATGTTTAAATAACATGTTCCACTACAATTTAATATTTCCAGAAATTCTTATTTGAAGCTCAAATCCTTTCAGTCACATGTTTATGGTTGACTTAGTGCAATTTCTAATCGTTCTAAAAGATGTTTAATGCTGGATTGCCTTCCTTACCGTTCTTGAGGTGGGAGGAGCAGATGGACTTGTTAGTGACATGATTTCTTGAATGGCCAGCCTCAGCTTCAGCCTGTGCAGGGGATTACTAATCCCAATTTCACGCTGGATTTCCGTGTCAGACAAGGCTGACATGATAGCACCACTTTTCACATTTGCTCGGCAAGCAGCCACATACCAGGCTGGCATCCCAACCCACAGCTGAAACACACAAAAGAAGGGGGTGAGCAGGATCTTAACCATTCCTGGCTCTAAAACCTTAAATTCTTTAGAAGCCTGTACACTGAAGGGGTTTATGTATTTGTTTTGGAGGCATCACTTACCTCCAACCACACAACCACAGTAGGCCCATCCCACTGTGCAAAAGGCAAACCTTGTCTTCTGGCTTCCTCTAGCAACTCATGCCTGCAATTACAGAAGTAATTATTAATGACAGAGAGTTATAACTGTATGTTACAATTTAAACACTGCATTCAAGTCACTATTTCTTTCCATTAGTTAGCTTTTTCCCTTTCTCATCCTTACATGATACACCTACCAAGCATGACAGCTCACATGCAAGGACTGCATCGTGACATAAGCTGAAGGGGATAGGAAATTTTAGAATGAGATTTTCCTTTTGGAAACTAGCTCCTGAAACTCCTACTGACACTCTAACCACCACAAGCAGAAAGTGGAGATGTCAGACTTGTCTGTCAAGATTATCAACTGCTGGAATTTTCTGTTCAGCAAATTAGACTGAACCAAAGTAGTTATTTTCCCTCGACATGCAGATCTGAAGCCCAGAAGAGGTGTGAGTTCATCAGTTATCCATGACATCAAAATGGCAGTTGCCCAGGCTGGAAACTGGGGCAGTAACCATTACATTAGTGAATTTCAGTTTGCAACAGCAAGCCTGTCAAAATTTCAGGTACAGCTTCAGCTAGCCATTCTATTCAGAAAGTCACACTTTGGCAACTACATTCTGAAGGGCTGTGTATGGAAAACCAGCCTTTATCTCCTATGGTGATAGCACTTCCTTTGTTGTTCTGAAACAGAAGAGACTGAAGTTTAATATTGACAATTCAGCTGACAGAAAGAATGTGTGGTCACAAGATCCCTATAAAAAGCTGCAAAAAATGTTTGATAAACAAAAAAGGAGACAAAAAACTAGCGTTGGGGGTATATAAGCATGCAATGTTGCTTGAAAAATTGGATGAAGTCTAAAAAAAGCATATTTAAAAGCTGCTTTGGAAAGCTTTGAAGTTTACCAAAAAAAACTTAGCCTAATTGAAGAGTTTTGACTGTTTTACTCATGCCAGCAAGTGTAGAATTCAGATAAGCATCAATACCACAGATTCATGATCCCATATTGTGTTTATAATCTCACAATTTAAAACAAAGTCTCCTCACTTTCAAAACTGTATTGTTGAATACATCTAAGAGAAAATATTTAAAAGATACAGATATAAGCCACCACACATCTTGAAAGGGGGGTTCTGAGAGACTAGTAGCTCTCTTTGCTACTAGGGAAGAAGAGATATGCAGTATTCAGCTCTTTTAGACATGCCAGCATCCCTAGGGATCCTCATTATAATCAGGGATAATTACAAAAAACAATCAGTGAAGTAATACATATACTAGCAACTGTTTTATCAATAGATACTGCATGTCAATCAATTCCTAGTACTCTAGAAGAACCTTCCAATTCTTTATCCTAATTAAATGTGCTGCTCAGGAAGAAAAAAGAGGAAGGAGAAAGGAAGGAACTGCCAGTTAACTGGATACAATAACCATTGTAGCCATTTTAAGAACAAACAACTAAGGTAGAAATAGTGTCCATCAGCAGCTGAAAAGCTGGATTTCAGGAATGAAGTGGAGAAGACCATAAAAGTTAATACACATATGTACACTTCAAAAGATTAACCTATTTCTGAACTAGGAATAACAAAGGATCAGCTATTTTCCTGCTACCATGGCACACATCACACAAACCCCACAAATCACTAGCCCTGAACACATTCAGCTTTGCTTCACTTTGCTCTTTACAGATTAAAAACAAAACAAACAAAAAAATTCAGTAAGGTGTTAAAAAAAAATACTTGCTTGGTGAGAACAGAATAAAATGCTTAATACTGTATTTGCCAGAAAGGAATACAACACTTTTTAAAGTACTTTAACTTCAACATTGGTGGTTTTGTCTTCCTTTTTGGTGGTTGTGCAGTGATGGAGGCCCACAAGTGATGGAACAGCACAGACATGCCCTCCAAAGTAGCCTCCAGTTTGACTAGGATGACCCCAAAAGGGCAGGCAACCACTGCCTCTCCCCCAGCTTACAAAGTTGCTCAGGGTATTGCACGTAATTTAGGGAATTGCAGTGTTATTTCTGCTAGTTTTATGTCTCCCTGTGTACTGCTGGTTAACTGTGAAACACCAAATCATTTGGAAGTTGATCAGTACAGGGAACATATCAAAGGCATCTGAAGTGGTTATGGTGCAGACTTCAAACTCCTGGTGGTATTGTATGCAAAAAATACTGTGTGGCTGATACTGTGAAGGACAAGAGAATGTGAAAGGAGTAGCTGGCTCCTGGAATAACCCTTAGGTGACAAGACCAAGGGATAGATGGTTGCAGACTTAAAAAGTTGGCTAAATATCACTTGAAATGGGAGACCAAATGTGCTGCTGCATGAGGGGAACCCTTGTTGTTAGACACAATCAAAAGGCATCTAATGCCAGCTGTGGAGAACAAAGAAATTGTGGTCATATGGGCTGAGAAATGATGTCAGACCTGCAGGTGCTTGATGTAGTAGAGAACATACAAGGCCCTTTAAAGACCACGAGAAGTGTTTGCATTTAGAACAGCTCTTGGCAGGCAAGCATATGCTAACCCCACAAGGAAAACAAAGCAGCCCAGAGCAGTAGTACTTTGTCACTGGATTAAGGCAGCATGGGAACGGATAAATCCAGAACTTGTAGCCAAAGGGGAATGCTGTATTCCAGATTTCTTGGATGGAACTGAAAAGAACTGATTTGGAACAACCTGAGAGCAGAGAAAACACTGCAGGGAAAGTGGTGAAGAGAGTGATTCCAATGGAAATGACTGAGTTGCAAAGTCTAACAACTGAAAGACATAAACAGTAGTAAAATGTGAGTCAAAAACAGACTGATTTCAGGCACAGCATCCTTATTATTAATATCCTTATTATGAATTGATCTCAGGTAACAAACTGTGTAATTTTTGTTAAGGAGAGTTATCTTAAATTCAGGGTTGCTTCCTTTTTGATTAATACAGTATTAAGTTGGCTGTGCCTTGGAAACAAAAACACAAAGACAGCAGAAGCAAACACTCAACAGTAGAGCTCACAAAGAAGATGAACATGAACAAAGCACTAAAACCAAATCTAGTAAGCAAAGAAATGCACCTAAAGTAATTGCCACAAATATCTATTATTGCTAAACAACTTTCAAAACCCAAATTACAAAACTAATGCCATCTAAGTAGGGTTTAGTATTTCCATTATAAAAACTCACACCATGCAAATTAAAACAAGGCACTGAACTAGCACTCACACTGAACTAGAGAACACTGGATTTATTTCAGCAACACATTTTCACAATACATTCTTTTGAAGCCAGTATCTCCTCTCATAACTTTTTTTTGAAAAAAGTTCTACCTTTTCATCTATTGCTAAAACACAAAAATCCTTAATTTCACAACAATCCTAATAAAATAAATATAAACTTACCCTGTTTTTGCACTACCACATCAAATGGTAAACAAAAGGAAAACAAAACAATGGAGGAAAAACAAAACTAGGATTAAATGGAACAAATGGAACTTAAAGGCATACAAAATTAGACAAGTAATGTATACTGCAATTTAATTCTGTAACCATAAATAGTTTTTTGTTTGTAAAGACACTGAATACCACCCTCAGCCCAACTGTGTGCATGCGTGCAGAAATAAGAAAGATAAGTAAGCAAATAGGGATTAGAAAGAACTATAAATAGCTGCCTGCAACTATAACTAGAGATAGCTGTCACTGTTTCAAGCAGTCAGGTAACTGGAATTCTTTTTGTTGAATACAGAATTTTCTAAGTGAACACTCAGCCTTGAGAAGCTGTTTTAACCCCACCATCCTCCAATATCAGTGAAAACCTTTAGGACTTTTTTGCTAAGGGGCATCTCAAGAAGGCAGCAATAGATCTTTGACACTTTGTGACATTGTTTTCTATGCTCAGAATACCTGTCAGGATTTTGAAACAGCTGGATTAAAGTACCTTGCTAGGAGTTAAATGGCAAGATTTGCTTCTCACAGAAGGTCAAAGGCCCCTGCTGTAGCTCTGAGCAGTAAGAGTAATAAAACTAAACACTATGATATATAAACTTTATCAACACAGTCTTGTTTCATACCCACTTCCGCTGAAATACCTGAGTCACTGATACCTTCCAGTGAACAAGCACGTACACAGATTTAACAGCTAGGCAAGGCCATTTCAAACTACAAGTTTATATTTGCTTTAGACAGACACTTGCATTTTAAGCAACCAACAACATGCAGCCATGAGGTATACTTTTAGTAATCCCTGTAAAGTTTTGAAAGGCAGAATGTTTACAAAAAGTCATTACTTATCTGCATTTCCTTATTTAAGCAAGGCAGTATAGTTTGTTATACTTTAGAATGAAATGTGTTGCTGGTTTTGAGGAAGACCTGTATTGTTCAAAGAGCAGGCCTATCACTATTTAGGTATTACCAGGACTAAAACTATTCAACCAAGATGTAGTGTGATTTTAAAGCTCTGTAGAAAAGGGAAAATACCAGATCATAATAATGTACCACTGCCTTCAGTGTAACAGTCTGAAGAAAAACAGCTGAGCCTTCTGTTATACAAACAGAACCACATTCCATTCTGACTTTTCAAACCAACACACTGCTGGTTTTCATTAGCAGTCACCAGGCATTATTCTTATTTGTTAACAGAACTTAGGTACTGCGAGAATTCTCTCTCACAAAGTGAAGTTAGTACATTTTCTTTTCAACATTCACTGTTCTGTCTTCAGAAGGCAAGTAAAAAAGCAAGATATGTCTGATCTTGGTCAAGATTTTTGACACAGAGTAAAGAGAGCTGAACAGAACAGAAGCAACAGCAGCACAAAATATATGGCTCAGCTTTGGGTAGAAAAATGCAAAGAATGCCTGATCCAACTTACATAAATTTGAGTGTTTCCTGTATTACCATATAAGCACCAAGCCAAGATTTCTACTAGCTTAAATAGAAGTAAAAAAACAGTGAACACAGCAGCAGTTTGTAACTGCAACAGAAAGGGACAGACTTTCAGTCACCTGGTAGGAAGGAACCAGGCAAAGGCACGTGGAAATCTTCCCAATGAATTAAACCCAAAGCAGGAATTAATACAACAAATCTGGGGAAGGGCTTGATAAGAGTCCACTTTTATCATCTAGTTTATTTATTACAGCATCCCAAAAATAAGCTTTCAGCATCAAAATTCATTTCAATCTTATTGTGACTGCACTACTCTTGATGGTCTGAAACATAGATCTGTTCTGGAAAAAAAAATGGTAAAAAAGAAAAATCTACAGAGGTTTATTCGCCATAGCTGCATGCAAGGGAAAAATACTTGAAAACAAAACAGAAAATGAAAAACATTTTTAAACAAAGTAATGCCTTAAAAACAGAGCATTAAAAATATTAAATAACTTACTTTTTCTGCATTTTCCTGTTTTTTTCTGCCTGGCCTCCAAGCTTGCTGAGGCCTAATGCATCCTGAGAGGAACTATCTGCTTCTCCCATGCCAACTACCAAAAGAAAAAAACAAAAACCAGTATTTTTATCATCTTCTCTGCTTTGGCCAGTTCTAACTCAAAAAACACTACTGCTTTTCTGAACAGAAGCCTTTAATCCTTTGTAATAATACTGATCAGAAATGTACAAAGGCAAACCTCCAGGCCCATCTATCACTCCATTTTCTAGTTTAATACACACCCATCAAAATGGCATGTAAAACTGGAAAAGCAGATTGGTATGGACTCAAATAGGTGCTGCCTAAATCCAGCCAGAGTCACACAGAGAACCTGACATTTTAACTACCTGTAAGATGAATTCTCTGTTCCCATACCGCTTACGGTTGGTGTCAAGATCAAAGAATGATGCAAGATAAAAAGGTAACTGTAGCATTTACTAAGCCAACTGGGTTCCTTTTCAAGGGAGTTTCCCTTGGGTCTAAACTACAGACATGACTGTTGGTGTCAATACTAACAAAAGGCAAGATAAAGCTGAAATTTTTGCTTCGCAAAACAAGCCACAACGGTTCAATAAGGCTCAATAACCTGATTAAATGAGACTAAAAGACATCAATACCTGACTAGCTCAACTTGCATCCTACACTCACAAAAGGACCTACTAGAAGATTCAGTGACACTAGCTCCAAAAAAACACTGTGCATCAGCAGCAAAATAACAAATATGCACACACAGATGTTTACATCATAAAATCCAATCTTTCACTTTCTCCCTCCCTTCCTGTGAGGGAGGAAAAAAAAAAGGCAAACCAACCTTGTCCTAAATTTTCCTTGCTTGTTTGTCCAGGTCGTCCTTTTTCTTTCTTGCCAAACAAGCGACCAATAGAGGATTTGATACCCTTCTTTTTGGGGGCTTTATGAAGGGAATCTTGGCTACTATTGCTGCTGCTAGGATTACTTGTTTGCCCATCCTGAGAGCCTGTGGAACTTTACCAAAAAAAAGGAGTTATAAAAGAGCACAGATATGACAAATTCACTACTATAACACAGTGAGAGAAGTTCAGGTTTCTGTGCAAGTTCACAAAAGCTCAGTACCTCCCTAATGACATTTAACTTCAGCTTTTAATGAATCATGAAAATAAATGTATCTACTATAATACAAAAAACAGTGCAAACAACTAAATCATGCAAGAAGGAAAGGGATATAAGATTTATATACTACAGCATGGAACTACAAATCAATTCTTACAACAAATAAGGGCTTAAAGTGTAATGCAGAGAAGCCAAACTTGACAACACAAGTTCCTGACAAACTGAGGCAGACAGTAATTTAAAATACTTGAGTGGAATCCATCCCAGATATTTAGGCACTTTGAAAAGAACACCTGCCAATCAAAATGATGGCAATTTTGCAACTTCTTCCATAGGTTGGAATTCAGCTATACATTTAGAAGTATGACTGGCATTGTACATCATTTATTTCCTAAACATGAAGCAAACTTAATGCAGACCTTAAAATCTGTACTCTCTTGTCTGTGTAACATAATCACCCATTTATACGTTCACACTCGTTTACTTTTGAGTAACTTTTCAATAACTAGACTAAAATCCTAGAAGCTGAACAGTTTTGCAGTTTCAGGATTTTCTTCTCATGTTCTGAAATACCATTACTGGTAGCTCTGACTTATCCACAGCTACTTACTTTCTAATGTCCCTGATATCTTCATGGCTCACTGTGTGCAAAGCTCCTTTCTGGACTCTGTCCAAACGCAAAGATCGAGGTGAAGAAGGTGGTGACGTCTCACATTTTATGGTGGTTTTATCATCTCGTACCTCTTCTCTAGAAGCTGGAGACTAATAAGAAATGAACAGAGACTTGAGGGATCAGCTGAAAATGCCAAAACATTATTTCACCATCACACAAATACTGCAAGGAAAAATCAACTGTTTCAGTGTTAAAGGATGACCATCCTGCAGCTGCCTTTTTTTGCTTGACTTTTTCCTGGACTTTGTTACCTTCAGTGAGAAGCTACAAAACTTAAGCCTTAGCCAGGGAAATAAGCAAGTAACACTCATCTTGTACTTGTTCATAGAGCTAGGAACTAAAGCAATGTCTTCAGCACTATAAAACTAACACACCTGCCTTCAGCTTAAGCAAGTGCAAAAACAGAAAACAAGAGTATCCTGTGAAGAGAAAGCATCTCCATTCTTACTGTTTCGTGTTTAAACTATCATCAGCAAGGTTAGTAATTCTATGAAGTGAGGTTCTACACACCTGTGGCTTTTCTCAAGGTTTGAATAACAGAAATTATGACCTATTTGTGTGTGCACTAACAGATCTTTAAAATCAAATATTGTTTCATGAAGATTGCAACACAGTCCTTACAAACAGAAAACAACACAGTCACCCACATCAGCAGAAAAAGCCAAACAAAAGAAAAACACCACAAAACAAAACAAGCCCACACTTATATCAAGACTACAAACCATTTTACATTTAATATCAAAGAGCATATCATCTTGTTTTATTACAGAGTTACCCTGCAAATGCTTTCTTTTCTGTTCCTGCTATCCATTAATGAGTTTGGTGACAAAACAGGAGATGAAGGGGCACACCAGTAAATAAACTAAAAGATTTTTACCTTTCTACGGTGTTTCCTTAAATCACTAGGCTGACAGATGCATGCAAAGAAAAGAAATTTGGAAAAGCCATATTTATTGTCAACTGTAGCACAGACTGAAACAACTACTACAGACATAACATCTTAGG